CTACTCTTCATGGTACCTCTTGCTATGAAAACGACTCACAGTATTTGACAGAGTATACTGCGCTGGCGCTATAGTCGACACCGGCGAGTATATGAACGGCTGAACTTGATTTGGTGGAACTACAACAAAAGGTGATTGCGGATAGGCATATGTGACACCTCCAAATGTAGACGTAGTAAGTAATTGTCCTGTTGGTGTTGCTATAGCATACTCTAAAAATAGCAACTGAAACTACCAAGCTATGGCATTTGATTTCAAACTGAAGATCTTTTGAAATCACCAGGAAATGTTCAGCATAAAACCACAACTGAAGAAAAAAATATCACGAATTAATTTTAATCATGAGGAAAAAAGAAACTTTACATGATTGAAACAATGTTATCTCTGATATTTTTGCAATATGATACGAATCCACAGAATTACCTGGAGCAAAACGAGGCCCATGTATTACTCGTCTAACAGCTGGTCCAAGATTTAATCTACGTCCTTTGAATTCAAGTTTTTCAGCTTCTTGGTTCTGTAACATGCTAATAATTAAAAAACTAAAAATACTGAATGACCAAATCCTTGAAGCAGACAATACTGGTAGGTAAAGGTTTTTACTGTTGAGTGCAAAATCTCTTCAATATAGTTTTATCTTCTATTTTATAGCTTTCTAATTTATAACTGACGCTTGTTACCGAATTAATCTGCATAACTGCTTTCGCTTCTTCTTCAGAATCAAACGTTATAAAACCATATCCTTTAGATGTTCCTTCACTACTACGAATTACTTTTGCTTCACGAACATGGCCAAATTTTTCGAAAAACAGACGCAGATCTAACTCCGTAGTCTATAAATAAGTAAACAAACAAATACGACAACATTGGTTTAGAAATGATTTTATTCATATATTAAGTTAAAGTATTCTATACAAGATAAAACAGAAAAACAAACTTATGTTGCAGATAGAATACTTTCGGACTTACAGTAGCTGGAAAACCGCCAACAAAAATTCGATGCGGTATGACTTCAAAGCCACGTGAATCAGCTGTAGCTGTGACAGGAAATGGCGCCGTAGCTGCAGGATAAATTGTCGCACCAGCCGGATAAGCCATTTGATATGGATTAATAGTTGGATCATATGTCATAGTTGTTGCAAAAGCTGGGCTCATCATCATTCT